GTTAGCAAGAGTACTCCAGGAAATCTGGAGAGGGGATGGGAAAGGATCAGAGGAAGCTAATACTAGAGATAACGAGACATCATAAAGATGATTTGGGACCACATATTGATAGACAGTTCAGGGGAAGAAAAATCCACAAATACTCCCAAGTATATATAGAAATTTAGTTTATGACAAAGGTGGTATTTTAAATCAGGGGAGAAATATTTTTCAACAAAAGGCATTAAAACCAGTTAACCATCTGGAAAAAAATTAAGATCCCTACCTCACTGTTTATACCATGACAATTTTCAGATGCATCAAAATTTAAGTGTAATAAAATAAAACATAAAACCTTCTAAGGAAAAATGGTTATAAATTTGACAACATAAATGTTCTAAATTTCTACGCAGAAAAAATATCAAACTAAATCAAACTGGAGAACAATGTTTATAGAACACATATAACAAAAACATACTGATTTTTTCTTAGATGTATTAAATTTATTGTAACAGTAAAACTCCTACCATTGGGAAAAAAAATAAATCAACGGAATATTGGGGCAAAGGATATAATCATATCATTATATTTATATAAATATATAAAATGATACTCAGCCTTGTTCATAATTTTGAAAAGCATGTTAAAACTACAATGAGTTGACCTGTTTGTGTTTACCTATCAGACTGGCAAGCAAAAAGTCAGATATACTAAATTGGCAAGTTCTGCTACAGTTTTGGTGGGAGTTGAAATCAGTACAGGCTTTCCGAAGGGCAATTTGGCAGTATCTATCCAAATCTTAAGGACGCATTCCCTCTGATCTAGTAATTCCACTCCCAGGAATTTATTCTAGGTATATACTCACACTTATGATCAAACATCTATGTACGAGAGTATTTGTGGCAGAATTTTGTTATTGTGTCAAAAGCTTGAGAACAGAGGGCTCATCAACAGAGGGCTCATTAACAGAGGGCAGGCTAAATCAATTAGGTACATTCATATTATGGACGAGTGTGCAGCTGGGACATATAATGAGGCTGGTATATATGCACTGATGTAGAATGTTCTTTAATTGATATTGTTAAAAAATCAAGATGAGAAAAGCTGTGTGTACGAGGAACTATTGGTGAAAAATACTGGTGTTCAAGGCAAGGAGGGAGAGAGGAAGAGAGAAATGTTTCAGTGGAAACCCAAGAAACTGAGACCAGTATTCTGGGGGTGAGGAAATTGAGGAACTGGGTGTCAGCATAAGAAGGAGATTTACATTGCATTATCTTTCTGTTCTATTTGAATTTTCAGACCTGTGGTCTTTAAAAAACTTGTTTTAGACCTGCTTTCACAATCAAAGTGACTATAGGTAGTGAACATACTAGATTTTCAGATGAAAACTGAAACACTCCATCTAATATCTGAATTTTTGTCCACGGGGTGCCAAACATCTGCACATATCTGGATCATTGGTTCTATTTTTCGCTTTGTATCTGTCCCTTTCGTATTATGTACACAAGTCCAAAATGTAAGCCAAGAACAAAGTTAATTTTATAATATGAGCTAAAAAGAAGTATCTAAACAGCAACCTAACTCTCTTATGCATGTCAGAAAGTAACGCCCGACTTAAGTTGATTTCCAATGGGAATAGTTCTACTACTGTCATGCAATACTGAGAATCTGAAATGCAAAATTCAAAAATATCCATTTTCATTTCTACTGTGATTTGTTTCCTAAAATCTACGATATTTATTTTAAAGAGGAGAAAACCTCATTGACTTTGTTATTCAATTCATCTGGGAAAAAGTCGGAAAAGGAAATAACATCTGTTATACAAAGAACAGATGTTATATCTTCAGAGTCTTCATCTTCATAAAATAAAATATGTGGACAATAAAACCCTTTTTACCATTTTCATTTACAAATGGCCATAGTCAATTTTGGGCAAAAAGGTTGATAGCATTAAGGTCTGGTGTGTAGTTCACCTCGAAAGACTTGACCCAAAACTAACCAGTGTCCATAAGTGATCAGTGAAGAATTTACAAATGGCCATAGTCAATTTTGGGCAAAAAGGTTGATAGCATTAAGGTCTGGTGTGTCGTTCACCTCGAAAGACTTGACCCAAAACTAACCAGTGTCCATAAGTGATCAGTGAAGCGAAGAGGAGGTTTGAGACCAGAAGAGGAGGTTTGCGCCATCTATTCCACATCATTACACTTCAGACAAGTGTAAAAACATCTGAATTAGCCCAGATGTCTTATAACTAGCAACACTAAGTTATTTGGATAGACTGGAAACAAGTAACAGAGACAACCACAGAGTCAGGCAAGTTGTGAGAAGTTACCTGGACAGAGGCCAGGGATGACATTCGGGGTATTTAACAACCTGGACAGCACATCCCAGACTGATAGGAACAGACACTGAAAATAAACAGATGGCATCACAAAGTTGTGTACCATGAGGTATCGTAGCAGTAGAGGCTGTGGCAAACTGGAAGGTGTGTGCCCTGCCTCGGTAAAGTAGCTTCCCAATGCCAAATAAGTGTTGCTCTGTAGGAAGGTCTGCCCAGGATTGACAAGACTCCCGCTTTTTAAAGAGAAGTCAGAAATCCAGACTTTTTATTTTAAATCTCCCAAAATGTTAATGTTAGCAATGTTTTTAAAACTAAAATATTGTGTGGTACTAACAAGACACACCAGAGGACTAAATTCAGCCCACAGGTTTCCTTTTACAACCTGAGGAGTAAAATAACCCATAGCTCTAAAAGTTTCATCAGAACAAGAAAATCTCATTCTTTTGTGAAAAAGACACTCTTGGCTCTTTTCCCATCAAGAAGGTGACATGAGATCATCTAGTGATACAATCACCTTGGTCTTCACCAGGTAAAATCTCTTAGACGCTAAATGTCTACTTAGACAAGATAGCACGCCACGCAATCACACGGCTCGTTGGGGGACTTTGAAACATCCCCGGCATTAAAAGACGAGTGGGTAGACAGAGGCAGAGTGAAGCGGTGGGGAGAGAGAGGTTGGGAAAGAAACAGAGAAAAAGAAGAGAGAAGGGAGAGGAGGAGGGAAAGGAGGAAGAAGAAAGTATGAGATAAAGAGGGAAAGAAGGAAGGAATAAAAGAGAGAGAGAGAAAGAAGGACGAGAGGTGAGAAGAGAGAGAGGGAAAAGAAGGCAGGGACAGACAGTCACTATAGTCAAGCTAGCTCTTCACAATTAGTTTCTCATCGCTATTCAACGTTGCATGGATGAGAGACCCTGGGATGGAGGATGCAGTGCACGGTGTGGACTTGTGGACAGCACATGGCAGGCAGAAGCCTGGAGGCCCCTGGAGGCCTCTTCCTCCCACTGAGCAGCAGTAGGTGTCAGACTGGGCTGAGGGTTGCCTCCTGGGCTTGGGCGCAGGGCATGGCTCTGCCTGAGCTCCCCGGGCAAGGACACCAGCTCCGGCGGGCCACCAACCCCACCTCTCTGCTTCTCCTCTGCTGGAACACCAGGAGGAGCAGGGGGCATCCGTGGGAAGTGCAGACCTCGCGGATGCACGTCCTCCATGCAGTGCTGGATGTATTTATTTATTCCCAAGCCACAGAAACCCTTTTTTTCTCTCAGCATTTTGGTTGAGAAAAGAGGAACATGTAGCAATTCAGAGATTCTACACCTTTTTAAACAGAGGATTTAAGAAGCACCTTGAAAATGTGAATGAAATTGGCAAAGGGCCACGAAAAACAGTTATGTTGTATAGTGATGAATGTACTAATAATCCTGCTTTAAGCATAGGATTTAAGAAGCACCTTGAAAATGTGAATGAAATTGGCAAAGGGCCACGAAAAACAGTTACGTTGTATAGTGATGAACGTACTAATAATCCTGCTTTAAGCATCACATATTGCACACAGGTATAGATATTCAACTCCGTACCCCACAGATATGTACAATCAGCTATGTTTCAATAAAAAAATAAAAAATTTAAAATACCATGAAAAAGAAAAAAGAAAATATGGATGAAAGAGAAATGGCCCTAACCCTGAAGCTGGCAAATGGGGGCAGTGCTGATGACAGGAATGTCCCAGCACTGTGCTGCGTCACACCCCCGGGGCTAAGGATACCTAGCAGGTTTCTGGTGCTCCTATGGGAGAGGGGCTCTGTGCATGCTGGCTGGAGCCCACATTATTGGTTCAGCATTAAAGACGAGTCTCCTGGGAGGTGGCCAGGGCTGCTCACGATCACAATTAGTGGAAACCCGGCCACCTCCCCTCGGGCCTGAGTCAGAGGCATTGCTCACCTCCAGGTCAGCATTCGTGCTCTCAGATTCCCAGAAAAGGTTTGGACATCAGCAGGGGCCCCTCACCACCAGGCAACTTCCAGCCGGGAAGCAGCCAGGAAGCAGGGCAGACTCCCACTGCTCACAGAGCGCCTCCCCTCTCCCCAGCCCTGTGCCTGACTGCCTGTGAATGTGTCCCGCTCGCTTGCAATAAGGGGCTGTCCTCTCTGAGAAGACCCCCACCCTAACACTTCCAGACTGAGGAGCCAGTGGCAGAAGGCAAGCGGCTCCCCCTGGCTGGAGAGGGAGATTTTCCCTGTTTCCAAGTCCAGGCACTGGGGAAGGAAAGTGCCCATAGGTAGGACTGGGACAGAGCGGAGTTCAACAGCACCCAGGGCTGGAGGCTCCAGAGAAAGCTCTAAGTCAGCGCAAGTGGATCTGCACTGAAGGCATATGATGTGAGTTGAAAGAGACAGACAGAAAACGTCAACACTGAAAAGATTACAATTCCTTAATCACAAGGTTTCATCTGACCCAGAGTAGGAGCCCGTCCTGCAGAAGGAACCTGCTTCTCCAACCCTCCATCAAGGGCTGGCAGAGCTGCCAGGAAGGCCAAGGAGATTTCAGGCACAAGGTAGGGGACAGAGGAGCCCCAAAAGGGCAATTCACTGATAGCCTCAGAGATACATAAATGAACTGTTTCTAGGGTACTCTAGCTAGGTACGAAGAGAACACAAGGAACAGAATGAGAAGGAAACTCTCTTACCTGGATGGTCTTGTGACCTGGAGTAGGCTCCGTGCACCTGCACACAAAAGATCACATTGTGAGACACACCTGGGGGAAAGCTCTCAGCAGAAAGCTAGTTCCATCTCAATAATAGCCACTGGGGGACATTACCTGAAAATTACAATAAAATAACAGCAGCCAGGAGTACCAGCAGCAAAGAGGCAGCAGCGTGCTCATGGTTTCCCCGGAGGTTGAAACGTGATCCAAGAGAGATTCCTGAGGGTCTGTGACAAAGTGTCCTCTTTAACTTTCACTTCCTTGGGAGAGTCATTTTCACAGGTTCCGGTGGTGGGGGGAGGTG